ACACTATTCTCATAACCAACAGTTCGACAAGATACCATTTGCAGGACAGGTATTAATTAGGTATAAGAAAAGACAAGACAATTTTCCTGAAATTTTATATATTTTTATACATAAGTTATCTAATGTCCATAACTCCATTATCCAATATTATTCGTAAACACATTATAAAATATTTGTATGGTTCGACTGATTCGGGGTTCCTCCACCTTAAGTGTAAACCGTAAACTGATTTATAATAATGGGTGAAATTTAAATCATCGTTATCATTCGCGCATCAATATATCAAAGAATAAGTAAAAAAAATAATGTATATTGGGGCATAATTTTTTTTTGGAAACATAAATATAACTTCTTTATTTTCAGTGGTTTTTTTTTTCCGTAAACAAATATTTTTGAAAAATGACTGTAGCTTTTCCACGATTTGAATTGAAAAAATTTAACTGATCTCACCGTTTAAGTAGTTGGGTTGTTGATTCGTTGTTACAATTCACCCGCGGTTATCATCCTAATAGGTATATTACGTACATTATATTTTTAAAACCGAAATACCTGTATTATCTATATACTTATATTTAAAAATATGTTCTTTAGAATCAATAATTAAAAAATGATAATACTGGATATTAAGCTAAAAGTTATGAAACAATTTGCGGGTTTGGATACTCCTAATTCCTTTCAGCCCTTTTCATTGTTAAACATTTTGATGCGCAAATGATATATGACCCAACCATTTAACGGTGCACAAATATCTAATGAAAAAGGTCGAAAGAACAATGGTAATATGCAAATGATATAAGCCCAGGGCAAATGCTGGAATGTCCCATCGTTAATCGTTTTAAACTTAAAAACTAGAAAATTATATTCCATTAGATCTAACAATATCTAATTTTATTTTGGTAAATTGCCAATAGAATAAAAATGTTTGTTTTATTTAATTATTTGGTAATCGCGATCAAACATGTTAAATTGAATTGTCCGTCTTTATACAAAATTGAAACCTTTGCCGATAGTATTCATTTTAACCATAATAACCATTTTTATTATTTACAATGAATTGTACAATTATAATAAAGGTCAAGCTTAAGAGTTCATTCAAAAAGGTATGTAAAACAATAATCTTATTAAAAAAATATATTTTAACGCTATGTTTATTTGCTTAACTGATTGATATTATACATTTATATTTATTTTTCAGACTATTGCATTATTATTTTACGTTTTATGTATGCATATTTTATAAGTCTTTGTCCTACAAATAATATTTTTAATTAATTAGGCTTTCTTTAAAATTTGAATTATTCTATATTCTAGTAGCTTTTAACTACAATAAGTATTAAAACACCATCCACATTGTCCGGTTTTAAGTTAAAATTTTAAATTTAAATTAAGTTTTTAAGTTGAAATGTTAGAGAATTGAACTCGAATAACTTACATCTATTTTATATCATAGTACAAGCCTGTTCAGAGAAAGGTCTCTAGATCAAAATTAACCCAGGCTCACCGAAGACCAAATAATCATGGGGCCCTATGCGTCCAAGAAAAGAAAAAAAAATGTAATCTTATTTAATCAAAAATTCCCAACCTGTTAAAAAATAGAAATTTAAGATAAAATGACCACTTTATAACTGTATTAACGATAAATAAAAATAACAATGTAATGTAATAATGTTAATGAACGGAGTATTATGAACTACAAAGATTTATTATTTATTTAATAATACATTTTTTTTTATATGTTTATGATTATAATGATTTTTTGTACTAAATATATCATATAATAAATAAGTTTCATATTGTGTACAACTTATTATTATTTATGAAAAGCTACCTTAGGCAAGTCTAAAAATTATTATTTATCAGAGCTATCAGCACATTATTGTGAAAACTATGTACCTAGATTTAATAAAGGTGCCCTTTGCATGATTCTACCCCGGGCCCCAAAATATATCTCTGAACGGTATGGTGTAAACATGTATAATTTTAATAATTTGTTTTGATCTATCGTGTATACTTATATTTTGTAAGAAAACCCACAAAATGGTTCGCAAAATCAATAGATTTAATATATCTTCGAAAAACTCCATTCAAATTGAATTTGTTAAACATAATATGTCGGATATCTAGCCAACTAGATAAGCATCTTTATATGACTAAAAATATTGTTACGCAAGTTATATAAGAATAAATAAATATAAGTGGAGTATCCATGAGTGAGGGGATCTAAGATCATATACAATGGATGGAACCACAGCTCAATATTTTGATGTACATGTTAGCGAGGAGTCGTCAGGTGAGTAGCTTTTTAGTGCGCATGCGTACCAGCAACTAGTCACATATTTATTCCAATGTCTTAATATGATGTGATAAATATTAAATAACTAATAAGATAAGTGATATTAATAATATATATTTTAATGAATTAAAACTTGAATTTATTCAATTGTTAATAAACTAAAATCTGTATAAAGTACCTATAATACATTATAGATAAGAACAAAATACATATGTCGATAATTTGAGATATGCGATTAGTCACCAGCCGCATGCGTACTAAAGGCTACTTACCTGGCGATTCATCGCTAGCATGTACATAATCGAAATTATACGTAATCTATAGGCTGTGACCCTATCCATTGTATATGATCCAAGGAGAGATACATAATGTAATTTTTTTTATATTTGTACGCAATGATAAACCGATACCGATAATTGATACCGAAAAACGAAATTTAGACATATTAAATATTTACATAAAATATTTTATTTTTTTATTTTACATATTTGTTTTGAAATTCCGTAATTTTTACGATTTTTATACTTATAATTGTATATTATATTTATATTTAATTATCACTGGAGGGAATGATGTTGTTTTAGCTGTGGACCCCCAAATGAAGCCAAGGGGCTGACATTTTGAATATTTATACTTTTGGTACCTACCTATAGTAATATAGTAAGGTAGTAAATATTGTCATATTGTATATAACCTATATAGGTGTATATATCATAGTAATGTATTATTGTGGTTTTTAGTTATTTATTATTTTATAAAGAATATTTTTATAATACAAAATAGATCGGGAAAGACTGCTGAAGAATAATTATTGCTCACAGTTTTTTTTTTTTTTTGGATTCGTTATAAATAAAATCAATATTTTAATTAATATACTTTTTTAAACATTAATAACACGACCACATTTAAGCCGTATATCACTGAAGTATATTTCAGTACAGCTTGTATAAAATTATGTTTCTGTGCTTCCACGTAAATTATTAAAATCAATGGATTGAATGAGAAATTTACGTTACATAGGGTAAGCAGACCTAATGATCTTCATAAATAGTAAATCATCGAATGGAGTATATACACACATATGATATGTTAAATCGAAAATAAACCAAGAAATTAAAAACAATTAAAATTAAAAAGAAAATTAATACTTAAAATTACTTAATTAAAAAAAATTATAGATGACTAAATTGAAACATATTATCCTTATGTTAATTTATTTAGAGGAACTCGTAAAAATATACATAATAAACTAATAGATACCCCCATACATATAGTAAGTATTACGGTTGTCGAAAATGGCTTAGATAATATTACGAAACACGTAGCTGATACTTGCCAGATCCTTATATTTTGATTGCACAGGTAAAATTTAAGTATATTTACAGTAGTTACTTAAACTCAAACTACTTAAAACCCTTTGTTTTTTCTATGACTCTAAGTATTGTTTACAATACAAAACTACATCGTCGGCCCATCCAAAATAATCGAAAATTACCAACTTATTATGAGAAAATAAGTAACTGAATACTATTTTAATTAACAAATTTTTTGAAATATTTTTTTTTAATAATCCGTGGCATAGTTCTTTTATTGGTAGTTATTTCTGAGATTTAATAACTAAAATCGAATATACAAATTATAGTCGAAGGGATCCGCGCAAGAACGAAATAACTCCATTTTTCAAAACTTATCAGGAAATAAAAGAAAATAATTAAAAATGTTGTATTAAAAACAATTTAAATACATTAGACCATGATAAAAATGTTCCCTGGTATTTGGTTTGATTTTCGTAATTTCTTCGAGATGAGAGCTAATATTAACCTAAATTTTATGGAGTTATCTTGTTTTTTCATCAGAACTTTGTGTTCATTATTTTTTCATTAATTATTTTAATAAAAAAAAAATTAAATTATTCATCCTAATTTTAAAAAATTTTTTTTTATTTTTTTGATGTATAAAATTATCAATCATTTTCAGCCAAAAAAAAAAAAAAAAAAAAAAAAAAAAAACAAACAAATACTTTAATATTTATAACTATGCATAGTTTAATTTAACAAAGACTTAAAATAAACTTTATAACTTGGATACAATATATTTTAGATTTTGCATTTATTATTTTAAATATTAAGTAATTCATAGTTAACTTTAATATAATTATTATTAACAAAATAAAATAAATTTCTTTCTGAAAAACTTCAATAAAGGAACATATTTACATAACACCATTCCATTAAATATATAATATAATGTGAAAATATTAATTTATGAGTGGATAATATTGCATGTATGGTAAAAACGTTCGACAACATTCGGAACAAAAACCAGATAACTCCTTAGTTATCTGGTTTTTGAACAGAAAAAAAACTGGATAACTACATTTACATTTTAATATCTCTTATATTTGGAAGGTCGGATTTGTCTAGTCTTGCAAATATATACTCGTAATTTATTTTTTTCTGAATTTAAAACGGCTAAAACCAAATTTTCTAGAAAAAAAAAAATGGAGTTATCTCGTTATTGCATAGATCTCTTCATTTAATAGATTGTAATTTTTATTTAGGTATAATTATCATAATATATTATATAAATGTACTTGAATATTTGATGTTGTGTAAAATAGTAGAAGCTAAAGGATTGGTGATATTTGTAACCATAAGTACCAATTATATATAGCAAGTTCAACAAATAATCCGCCACTAATTCTTTAGGTAAACGAATTATTGTAGTTACACCTACGTACTATGTACTACCTTGATCAGCGCCGTCATGCGTGGACGCCGGAACTACAACCACGTACCGTTTATAGGTCTATGCTTTAACACGATTAAATCTTTAATCACGTTTTATATTTCATGTTTTTATTATTTCGACACCAGGAGCGCTAATGTTCTATTTTTTACAGCTGTTTCAGAGTATCATTTAATAAGTCACTACGGAATAATCATAAGTCGTTGTGGAGCCTGTATATCTTGAATCGTGGGTAACAATCAAACAATTATGCATGCGAGTGATAGTATATAAAAACAATATCATAACGAAATTCTCTAGTGCGCGTCTATACAACTATGCTAATCTCGAAAACTATACGGAACGGAAACAGATGCGGTTTTCATTGGTGTACGATCTGCAATCTCGAGGAAAATTGATGATTATAATTGCACGCTCACTGATCAGTCCGAACAAAATTATTACCCTATCACGTAAGAGCACATAACAGTTCTCTTAGAACTAATAACAAAAAAAAAATCAGATCAGATTTACCAACACTTAGCCAGATTAACCCATTGACTTATATTTCTAGATAGAACAGTGAGCATGAAAACGCGCTCCGGTGGGTGGAGTTTTATTTTAAAGGCAAAAACACGTGAAATAATAAACAAAGTGCTTTAATTGGCTGTCTTCGGAGAGCAAATTTGCTCTCTCTCACACTAGATGATGGATTTATATCGGTCCATCTCTCTTGAACCGTTCGGATTGACCACGCCTCCCAGTCGTCGGAGTAGAATGTCCCGTCTAGATGTAAAAGTCTATGCTTATACCTAAAATACCTTGATTTTTGTTTTATTAATAAATAATTATTTTGATCTAAAATCGCATAATATAGCAAGTGTATTTTATGTTTTAATATAAATCAGTGTTCCTTGACTTTCAATCAGATGAAAAACCGGTTTGCACATAATCAAATTTATTGAAGAACACACAGAATAAAACTGCCGTATTTTGAGACTACGGAAATTTCAAGTACTGCCAATCTCGTTTTATTATTATAGATTTATCAAAAGAAAATTACATTTATTATAAAAATGATTATTAATAATTTCAATCCCCTGGATTGTGATACTAACAAAACATCTTATCGAGGGACAATTATCTTAAGAAGACTACACCTATTGTCTCAGTCTAACTACCAGGCAACATGTAAAAACCATGCTCTTACGCTGACTAAATAAAAATAGATTAATTTTAATTTTAGAGTAAAAGTAACCTATAAAGAAATTTATTGAGACTAAAAATTTAGCGGAAATCTTTTAAGTGTTTTTTGAATTATCAGTTATTTAAAAAACTGAAAAAAAAAATTGTTATTATTTTTATATCGAGCTGTATATTTAGAATAATACAAAAACTCGAAGAGGTTTCATCCAAAATATTTTTCTCTACAAATTTCATAATAGGTACTTTTGTTCTAAAATTAAAATTAAGCGAGTTTTACTTAGTCAGCGTAAGCATTGTTTTTACATGATGTTCAGTAGTTGGACTGAAACAGTAAATGCTCTTAATTTCTTCAATATTAACTTATTAACTTAATATTTTTATAAACCGGAACTCTAAAATTCTAATTTTAACCAACGGAACAGACGTAAAAGCTAATATTACGAATCGAATAAATAGGTATTTATTATACCTATAATTATGCAGCAGACTGTAATCGCATTCGCTAATTGATTATTATTATTTTGGCAAATTGACATTATTTTTAAATTTTGCAACTTATGAATTCTACCAGAAATTTTGCTTCAATCGAAAAATGATAAGAAAACCTCTTGTTCCTTTAAACATATAGCTACTTACAAAGAAAGTCGTTTTTATGTATCTAAAGTATTTTTCATAATAATCGGGAAAAACCAAAATAGGCGAAAAATAAAATTTTTTTTCTAATTACGGCGCAACGATTTCATTATTTTTAATTTGTATACTTTTCGTTTTCCACCAGAAATATTGCTCCAATAAAAAAACAACATGACATATTTTTTTTTGAATTTTTAATCTAGTTAGTAACTAAGAAAGTCGATTTTTAATAATTGAGCAAACCCCAAAAATACGTAAAAAGAACAGAAAAATGTACGAAAATAGTTTTTTATTATTTTAAATTTTGTTTTTATAATTTAATTCAGTTAAAAATAATCATAGAGACTTGAAATGTTGATAGAAAACTTATATTTGATAATATTATTATTATGGTTATTATAATTTGATACCATGTGTCTACATAAAATATTTCAATCATTTTTGAGTTATTTATAATAGACATTTTAGTTTTGCAAAGTTTTTACGTAATTTGTGTTTGGTACGTACTCTGTAGATAATTGTTAGACTTGACAGAAATGCTTGAAAATTTAACAGGAAGTTCATTATAAGTCATACTTAAGTTTCAAAAAAAAATTACGACCTTTCAAAATATGTATAACGCAACTTCGCTTCGAATAGTTTTTCGTTAACAATGGTTAACAATCATTGATTACGGATATAACTATGTATTCTACATTCCAAACTAGCCTCCAATAACAGTGGCTCCAGTCTCTAGTATCAGCTCTTTTTTTTCTTCACATAACACTGTTTCCGTCCTGTTTAAAATAAAATAGAGACGGACGAGACAAAATATCAGCATCCGTTTATTCCTACTGTCTGATAGTAAACCCAGCTAAAAATACACAAAGCGACTGCATTATAATTTTACTTACAAAAATGTAAGTACTCGGCAATGAAGCCATACAAAATAAAGACAATAATAATATTATATCGTTGCTTATTCTGCAGCCCTATTCTGTACCTCAAAATTTAATAAAACTGAACTATCGATATTATCAATATTAATAAAACAAATGATTTCAAAATCATGTTGTTCAATAATTTTAGATTTTGAGTGTATCGAGAAATGTATTGGTTTCACTATGATGTGTTTTATTTTATAGTTTTCTTATAATTGAGGAGAAACGGGAGAGTTTACAACATTAATAAAGTTTCATTATTTTCGATTTGATTTTTTTTTGTAATGAATCGGGTAAAAATGATCGTAAAGAATTAAAGGTTTCAAAGAACACTTATATTAGTCTTTTCTAGAGGTGGCAAAATATTCAATTCATTTTTACAATTTTTTAAATCTATTTTTAAACACTCAAAATTTTCGTGTTTCTTTATTTTTTTATTTAGTAGGTATATGTAAATAAAATTATTTAACTGAACACAAAGTTTGAAAATTGAATACGAGATTCATACCTATTAGAATACATATTAGTATAGTAATACACATTACAATTAATATAGTAACCTTAACCTATTATTTATAGTCGTAAAAAAAAATTAAACTGAATAAAGTAGTTTTTTCATAAACTTTTCAAATTCTAATTTGAATAAAAATCGTAAAAATCACATCATTTCAAAACATGTTTAACCAAACTTGGTTTCAAATTGTTTTTTTTTTAGCAATAATTTATTGTTGCGTTTAGATAAAAATTTAATAACTTTATATATTTTACCTTCCCAACTTCCTATCGAAAACAATGGGACACCTATTCTCAGTATCAATTTTTATTCATTTTGTTGGATTTTCGATTAAACTGCAGTAAATAAAAAAAAAAAAACGATAACAACACTGAAATTAAAACTTTGTATCAACATAACGTATAACACGGACAATAACACGTGACAATATAGTTGATATTGTTATAGCAACGTTTTATAAAAATTGTTTCTTGATCATCCTGTAATCCTGTAAAATTACAAAAACTAATATATACATACTATCGCAGCAGTGTTCTAGTGGAAATAGTCGAATGTCGAAAAACCGCTTTAAAACACAAAAAAACAAACGTAACATATCTCAATCACTATGTTCAAATATTGTGTCCATCGTGGCACCTGCAGAATATCCAAGAATGCACAAAGATCGAGTTTTTTTCCTTAGACATGTTGATTTTTAAAGTACTCGTCCGATGATATGGATACAAAAACGATTATCGCGACGACATTTTTGGTAATTCTATATTATTATACGTATGCGTAATTCAACGCGTACGCCATATACAAAAATATTATAATTAACTGCGAATAAAAAAAAAAAACACACACTGTCTGATATTACGCATATGTGCAAACACTCATAACGAAAATTGAACAGAAAAAACATTGATCGCTGAATAGGAGTGTAGTCCGTCAATTTTCTACAAAAACACAAAATACTGGGTAAATGGCTGTCAAGGAAACGCGAAAGCCGGTTTCACAGAAGAACCACACGCGTAATCGCGTTAATTTTCATGGATGAAAAACGCGTAATTGTGTTCAACATTTTCGCAGGACATTTTGATCTGTTTTTGAGGTTCGATCTGGTCGGTATATTTAATTTGTCCGTAAATCAGAGATGAAAAACGCTTATAAAATAACGTTATTAAAAGAAAAACTATTCAATAACGAAAACGAAAAAAACGGACATATTTCGCACGATGGGTGGGCCACTGTTGTAGGTGAGAAGTTGAGAAGGTTGGGAAGGAAATTTAATTTATATTTCTACGCAACAATAAACCATTGAAAACCTAAAAACGATTCGAAGTTCGATTTTACATGTTATGAAAAGCCTATTGCGGCTTTACGATTTTCGTAAAAATTTGGTGTTAAAATTCTTATAAAAAAAAAAATATATTACATTAAAATCAACTTTTTTTTTGTTGACCACTAAGTACAATTTATAATGAACCTCATGTTAATTTTTCAAGTATTTCCGTTTGTTCTAACAATCAAGTAACAAGAAAACTAAAAGTAACTTACAAGTTATAAAGTTACTGAATTGTGTAACTTAGTAACTAGTTACTAGCCAGCTTTGCAGTCTATGGTAATAATAATTCTATTATCGAAAAAGTGGTAATCCTAAGAACTGATAAGTGATATCTATCACCGAGTGTATAGTGCTATAGTTTTAGTTATCCAAACTTATGTAATATAAACTAATAAGTTGTTCCTAAGTCACTTGTTTATGTTTTAAATAAAACAAATTGGTAATATTTATAAAATACATACAATAATAATGTACAGGATAATTTTTTTTTATCATGAACCAGTAATTTTCTAGGAGGATTTTAAGTGAATTTGGTTTATAATTTTTTTAATCATTTTGGAATCGGTAATGTTTTATTTTAAAACCATTTTGAACTTTTACTTTTACTCCATATATAAATAAATATATAATTATTTTCGTTTTTCAAATAGGAATATGAGTTAACAATTTAACGTTTAAACCGGAGTAATAGAGAAGGTATCTATTTTTAAATGATACAATTGATAACTTTTCCCTACTCCTCCGAGATAATCGCTGATTCATCAAATAAAAAAAAAAAAACACTGTATGCATTAAGAAATTATTAACATTGTTAAATTGTGTTATACAATTATAAATTTAAAAACATAATAATATAAAATCTATATATTTATTCTATATTTATGTTAAACTTCAGAATCTAAAAACAAAAACGATATTTTGTAAATTGATAAACAATAACGAAAACAAACAAATTAAAAAAGTGTTCCCATCCATGTCTAAAATGTATCAAAATATCTCCCTCTCTTATCCCCCTCCAAAAAAACAAAATCGGAAACAATTTGATGGGATTGGAGACTTTTTGATTAGCCTGACCAAAATGTCACTACAACCATATAGGTACTAGATTTTCAAAATGTAATGGGAGGCACACTAAATTGTAGATACCTACCCATATAATACAGTTTTACCCGACACTTACCATATATTCCTTATAAGTAAGCTATTGTATTAGTGGATGATGTCGAATTATCGGAAAATAATCAGGTATATCGGCGAGCATTTATTTTGTAATGTGCAGGACCGCACAGCATTTACAAGTTTTGTTGTTTTTGTTTTAGACTCGGAAAACTAGTCAACGTCTAGTCGAGTGACGGGAAAACGCATAATACTTATTGTAAAATATTAATTAAGAACAGTAAACGCATATTACTTAAGAGTACGTTACATGCACACCCGTAGCTATTGTCTCTGTCTTGCATACGTACGACACAGCACATTTGCGTTCAGTAGGACACATTTTGTACCGTTAGTTTTAATACTAGAATAAATCTCTGAATAAATTGACTTATTGCCAAACTTAAAGGTAAGAACATTATCTGTGCCTCAGCTTCGGGTTTTTTTGCCGATATTTTAATTTTCAAGCGAGGTATGAGTATGCAAATTATCACAATTTAAAAATGGTTTTATATAGGTAGTAAGTATATACAAATTAAAAATGAAAATATCAAAAGACACCCATGTGATTGTCGGTTGAACAGATAACGGAGTATTAACGATTTCATCGTTAAATTCGATAATAGATCAATTCACGTTAATATTAAAATAAACAACACAAAATTATCCCGGCTGAACGAAAATTTGCCATGTATTATACGTTTGTAAGACACAGACAGCGCACGTGGATCGTATCACGTCCCTCTTAAATTTTAATGAGAAGGGGGCAGCCCGTACTGGGAATTCTTATGGAGCGGCTGCACTTACAACTTAAAAGGACGCCTAAACAAGTATAAGTAGCATAATTATAATGGGGGTTTTGAGGGGTATCAATCCACTCCCCTGCTCAGGGGCATAACATTTCCATACATTTGTCTGGTGCAAGTAAAATATCATAAAATATTACGATAAACATAAACGACGAAGAAAAATTGACAATATTTCTATTTGTCCTTTTTGGATAAATTTAAGGTAAGATTTTATGCATTCTTATAAAGAAAACTGTTTCAAAGTATACAAATGTGATACTCCTCACGCACAGAGTATACAGTATGCGCTGTTAGGCTATCACTGTTCAAGGTGAGTAGTTTAAAAGGTCGGATATACGGGATAATTTAAATTGTATATCTACTGTATGCAGTAATAAATCATTTAAAACAAATAACGATACTGAGCGAAGTAGTATTAGTAGTTTTTTGTTTCATATTCGAGGTAACCCAAAACTCAACAAACGTATCGTAATTTGTTGTTAGTTTTTTTAATTTCATAGAAAAGCTCTGAGTAGAGTGAGGAATATATTGGTTTTACAATGATGTTTTTTTTTTTTTTTTTTTATTATTTACAAAAATTCTATCAGAAATCTTGCTTCAATGTATCAAGTGTAGCACCTTTCCTAAAACAAAATTGTATGTAATTGGTACTTTAGGGAGGTCATTTTTTGATATCCAAGCAGTTTTCATAATAATTAGGAAAAATCGGAGGAAAATTTACGAAATGTATTATTTTTAATTTTGTTTTTTGTTATAATTCAGCTGAAATCCGGACAAAAATCTTAATTTTGACTTTTCTAAACGTAGTAAAATTTTCAAAACATTTAAGCAATTTCTAAGCTCTTTATAGACATTTTCATTTTGCCGTTTTTTACGTAAAATTTATTCGGTAGGTATTCTTTGGATAAAATTGTTAGACCATATAGAAAATCTACTAGGGGGTTCATTATAAGTTATACTTAGTGGTCAACAAGAAAAACTCGAAGGAAAAGATGAGTTTAATGTAATTTTTTTTTTTTTTATGAATATCAATATTCAAATATTCAAATATACTTTACCGTATATACGATCTTTTAAAAGACCGGTTAGGTTAGTTCTTTCAAAACATGTAAAACCGAACTCCGCTCAGAATCGGTTCCCGTCGGTAATGTTTAATCTTTGCATACATTAAATTCCTCTCTATATCCTATCTTCCTATTTTCTTAACTGCAACAATGGTCCAGCCCCATCGTACGAAGTATATCCGTATTTTATTTTTTTAAGTACCACCAGATAAAATTAGTAACTGAATATTTTAAGGCACGATTCCAACAAGTCGGAGCCTTCTTAGTAACGAAAGTGTTTTCTGGAAACCCCCCCCCCCAAAAAAAAGGACCTAGGAAGTGAATCATTGAACAGTGTTTCAATGTTTCAAGTAAAGTATGTACCATTAAAAGATTATATTTTGTGTAAATATGAATATAAAAATATAAACAGTCTTGCCCGTCTATTCGTACCCAAATCGTTATGGAATCCCGATTACAATAATAGTCATGGTAAAATGCAATAATACACGACAACGTATTGCCAAGTAGCATATGGGTATTTCTGGTTTTTAAATAAGATTATACATATTCTTCCCTTATATAACAACACACGCGCTTTCCAAGGCTGAATCAAGGGGGAGGGGGCACACAATGTGTGTTTTTGTTGATGACCTTTTTATTTTTTTGCTTTTTGGTCTTTAGCCCCGGGCCCCCATAACCCGTAATCCGGCCCTGGCGCTGTGTAGGGCGCAATGTCGTCATTGGCCGTGTTATGATAGAGCGCATTGCGTATCTGCCCGGCCCGTGTATCCGACGGGACACCGATAAAATACCTATACTATCTATTAGTAATTTTTAAACAGGAGAAATTATATATGAACACACTAATAACACATTGATTTGAATAAAACTAGAACCGAACGGCGATCGCAATATTCGCAAACAGAATAATTATACTAAACTCGCAGTAAAATTACACGGAATAATATTATTGTAACAAGTATATAGTACAAGTGTGTGTGTGTGTGTGTGTGTGTGTGTGTGTGTGTGTGTGTGTGTGTGTGTGTGTGTGTGTATGTGCGTGTTACATTAGGGTCATTCACTGCGCATAATAAATAAAGAGCATATGAAATCACGGGAGAGCCGTCTGTTTGTCCTAAACACGAACGACATGAAAATAGGTTTCTACGAATTTCGCGATCGGAGTTCTGTTATCACAAACTATTGTGTTTAATATCCACAAAAACCTTTTACCTGGTTCGCCGAATTTTTATTATACATTTCTTCCAAACCGCTGCCGCCGCCGTACACGCGAAGAAAAACCACCGACGGTTCGTCGTCGGACGCGAAGTCCACATCCGCGCACTACAACACTAGTTTAAAACGAACAAGCCATAGGATGTAAACGAATAATTGCGACTTATTTCAACGACAATTTTATAACGTACAACAGGTACGCCGAACGTACACCGACTAAAGGAAAATACGGTTGTCACTAGTCGACTACATGCTTACATCGCACAGATTCGGCTCAAAAATGGCAAACCTGTTAGTTTTTCAAACAGCGGTGACGGCTAGCGGTGAGCTTTTTGTCAAGGAGTTTACAAACGCGTTACTAAAATCACGGTGAGGGCGCTACGACGAAAACTCCTGCGAATACTACCACAACGTCTTTGATATGCCGTCATATCGAACCTATGGTGACGAGGGACAATTATTATCGTCTTTTAGACGAGTGCGCATACGGTTAGCTTTTTTTATTAAAAAGTTATCGTTAAAATAAATTCGCGTTTCGTTTGTTTCGAAAAATAACGCGCGCGATTTCTGGTCCGACGACGAACCGCCCGAAAGCGTATTATCTTAGTATTTATACGCATTTACGGCGAATAGAAAAAAAATAATTGTAAATCCGCCGAAAATCACGGACAATATTATTTAGCACCTATTCCTAGACGGGAACTGAGCAAACGGCAGAATAGCAGACTATATTCGCCGCGGAAAAGTGGTTTTGGAAAAAAATTACAAAAACATGCTGAACAGCGAGAAAGACGAACGAACAGGATACTCACTGAAGTAAACGTACAGGGAAGGATACAAACCGTAAATTCAAGGGATATAAAATAATTTGGATACCTGATACCAAACATAACCCTCCGAATCGTTTTTTCGTTAGAAACGGTTTATCGTTGCTTACCGATATACATTAAATTCCCGTCTGTATCCTACCTACCCAACTTTCCATTTAAAACAGTGGCTGCACCCATCCCCATTATCTTAGGACAACGTTTTAGTGAATACAGTCTGAATGATAACGTAATTCATATTGTTGTGATGACAATGCGGACTATGCAGTATCGCAGTATCAGTTGTAATATTCTAAAAGCAGGGAAACCACAAAACATTCGAAATGACAATAATAACAATATATATGTATACATATATCTACTATCTAGTAATAAAATTTAAAAAAAAATAAGCGAAATTGTACTTTCTCATTGACAGAAACCACTTTTGAAACTATTTAAAATTTGTTTTCATCATAATTTTCATGAAATATCGGGGAGATTTTGAACTTCTAAAACCCTTTTTTTACACGCGCCTGCCTGATACGACATAACGAACATACTATTTCTCCAAAGCTTTATTCGTTATACACACTAGTAATAAGAATTACAGAACGCTAAAGGAATCTGCTAAAAATCTCTGTACGTACATTCGGTTTCAACGACTGCAATGATGGCAATGCATAGCCTTCAGAGAAAAAAGAGACACCTATGGGTTACATGACGTATTTTTGTACCCGCTAATTCTATGTTGTTTTAATTGACAATAAACAAAATAAATCGATAAACAGACTGATATGACTGATGTGTGTTCCTCTGAAAAAATTTCCATTTTATTGCCATCCGGATCAAATATTCCCTTTGTCAATGTATTTTGAATATCATAACTCGCGTTCGGCAAATAGTTCTATAGTTAAAAATGTAAAATGTATAATATTTATTTGATATTGATAGGTAGGCACTACAAAAATGTTGAATTAATTTATTAGCCACATCTTCGATCTAACTCATGATATTTTACGTACAATTTTGTCGAAAACGCTGAAAAACATAATATTGTATAGGTAAGTATAATAATTATGAAATGTATTACAAATAATATGAATATTAAATTGAATTTTTTTATTGGAAACCTATTAAAAAATATGCAAAATATTTGTATGAATTCCCGAGCTCTCTCTATATAGGTCTATTACATAGTATTATTTTGCATTCATTAACAACAAAAACATTGGTAAAATTACCTCATCATACACTATATGCACTTATACAATGTTTGGGTGGCACAAAAAATATATTTTTTTAAATTAAATTACGATAGAAAAAAAATGAATGCAAAAAACCCATTACCATTAGGATTGTAAAAAACAATAACGTTAACATATTTTAAATAGGTATACGAGTATACATACGAGGTACATACATTTAGAGTACAATTTTTTTTTTTCATTATTAATATTATTGGTTTCGAAAAATATTTGCGATTAGGTATAATAGGTATTGTGCAGTAGGAAACGGATCTCATACATCATTTGTCAATAAAAGAAAAAAAAAATATTCGTTAGAAGTCATAAATTCAATATTATTTATATAGCTTTCTAAGTACCTATCTATACGTATCGTATCAATGGGGGGAAATAATATCGTACAGTCGGTAGAATAATAGTCGAACGAATGATAAGTATTGAAATATGGCACCGTGCACATATTATTATTCGTAGTATTTTTTTTTACTTTTTATTTTTTTTTTTGTTACGTGTTAATTTCGATAAAATATTATAGTACAATATAATATATACTCGTATAGTTTTAATAGATCAATAATGACATACCTATACGGCTATATATATATATATATATATATATATATATATAAGATAGAGGGGGGATTGTCTAAAATAACAAATAATATTATAGAATATTATCAGTGTTATTTGACTAAGAAAATATTATAATATTTAATGTATACGTGCGTTGTCGGTTTGCGGTTAATTTGAACATATACAAATATAAAAAAAACCAACCGTGGTCTAGGAAAATATTTAATTTTTTCTATTTAACTGCGGATCGATTGACGTAGGTACGGTGTTCCTCATTAGACTTGACGATAAATCGAATTAGAAATCCGATGTATTTCGAAATTACTGCCCGTCAGGCACGGATTCAGAGCAAAGATCTGAGGGGGAAACAATTTTCTTACAACACAAATACAATACAATACAATAATTTACAACATATTATATTATATTTCCATACATATCTATGATAGGAATATAATAATATCAGAATCTATAAAATTATTAAAAAAATTGGAAAAATAATATGTCGGGGGGCCTGGACCCGTAGCCTCCCCCCTGGATTCGTCTCTGCTCCCGATGGACAAATACGTTGGTCGCATGACTGGAATTCGTGGCATGGAATTGATAAGGTCTTTTATCAATAATTAATCCGATGTCCGAACTGAATGAAAACTAAACGAGGAGAATTTTTTAATTAGGAATGTTCCGCGAAAAATTTCAAATACGGCGTATAATAAATTATAAGTAGGTGTGACACGTCAACATATTCTATGGCTAAATATAATTACATTAATATAATTATTTGGTATCATACTATAGGTTTGTTTGATCAAACTGTCACAAAACTGGCGAGGCACATGCGTAGTAGAGTTTTGCCGTTCGAACACACCGAAATCGCAAACTCAGTCAGACGGTTATTCCAACACATTTGGGATTGGGATTGAGATTGGGTTTGGTATCGGTTAGGGGGATTTTGGAATTGGTTTCTGACAGTCAAAACGATCCGCTGATTCGGATGGGGACGAGTACCTAGTCGGAGATCATGTTATCATTTATGTATTGTTGTTTGATTAATATACTATCAATGATTTGCGTTCGTACGTGTAACGTTCGTATGCGTAACCGTTTTACTGTTAACTGTATCTGCTGTTGTTGTTTCATCGTTAAAGCGTATAATTAATGATCTCACATACAATATACAAGATTCACTCTTATCAGGTTTAATATCTTATCTATATTCTACAACACGGACAATTCGACAGTCTGTTGGTCCGAAACGCGTTCCAACACTTATCCAACTCCACATAGCTCCGAATCTATAATCAGTCCACGTGAGCGCATGCGCAGTAAATCAATCACTGAACAGTTCACAGTCTATTTCCAAATTCCGTTTTGGAACAATTATAGATATATTGAAAATTATGAAAAAAAAAAATGTATAATTATTATTTTTATTATTAAAATATATTATGTATTTTACGACAGTTAATTTAAGATGAAAAAAAAAAACTGTAATGATCATCAAAATGATGATGTGCAATAAACCGAGGTGAATAAATCAAATCATATTTATCTAGGTTAGTTTCATCATAACTTTTAACAACGGCATTCATCGCTCGTCTAAATTTTTCTATTTTCGTTCCACATTTCCTCTAGCTGTTTGTTCAATTTTGATCTTTTGCGGTTCTTGTTTTTGCTTTATCATATCAATTAACTGAACTTATAAATTGAAACAAATTGCGATGTTTGTATCTACTTCTAATCGTAACTCTAAAACTTTTATAATAAAAGTTAAAGTTTGGTTTTGGAATATATTGACGCGGAACCTTATATTATATTATGTATTTTGTATTATTTATCTTCTAAAAGTGAATATCGTGTTTTCCGCACCCGAAGATTTACAGTTGTAATATTTATCACGTTATATAGCAGCTAGCATTATTGAGAATTATCGTATGTGTACATATAGGTACCTACCAGCTATTATTGTTGTACACAGTCGCAAACAATTTATTACATATTTTTAATACGTGTTATGATATTATGTGAAATATACGGAACGGAAAAACTCTTAATCCCAATATTTTATACTCGTTACGAAAAAAAATTTCGTATTTATAAAATAATAATACGAACAATGTTAGTAAGTAGGTATTACAATATCACGCGCGTTGTAAACAAACATACCTATGCGATATTATCGCACAGGTATGTTATAAATTATAACAAACGAAGAGGTTTTGATTTTTTGGTCGCTGCCGCGAGTGGGAGAACATCGCTGCGATATTATCAAATCCGATTATCGTCATTATTCGTTCGGTGTACACGGAATAATGCCTAATTCCTGACAGTCCGCCGTTGACATTACACACGTATACAAAATAATAATATGATACGATATTTTGATTTCTCGTGCGAACGGGTGTTGTGTGTCGCTTCTGTATCAGAACGGCGTATGTAAAACCATAACATTACTATTTTCGTTTTAATAGGAAAATTCGTTACGAAATATAATTTGCGCAATATTATTTACTTTTTCCAATATACTACTAGAGTATATCTAACGTAATATTATACAGTAATAATAATTGTTATAATACGATGCGTATAAATCGTCGATAAATAGATAAGACTAGCGAAAAAAAAAAAAAAAAAAAAAAAAACACCAACCGAACTGTTTATCGAAAAACGATATATATTTTTTTTTTTTCCCCCAATCGGAATAAGCAAATTTATTATTATTTGTTGTTCGGACGATGATGACATCAATGTTAAAGAATTTTACGCGAACGGAATGTATTCATATTATATTGTTGTTATAATACATAATAATATGTACGGTTAGTTAACGTAATTGTATGCAGATATAATCAATGGGCACCCGGATGGGGGCATGACGGGGTATCTGCCCAACTGGACTTCAACATTTCAAATGTAATTTTAATAATTTTATCTCGAGTACTCTTTGGTGTTTGGTTTTACTGTGTCTGATAAATTTCCCGCAATATCGCAGAGAGAGACACCGGGGTGTTTCTACTAGGGCATGTCTATTATTACAAATTCGTACCGTCAATACTCGGGCATTTTATAGACGAGACGCCTGTCGCCCGTACGAATGCAAACAAAGGTCTGCCGAATACCGCGGTATTGGGCGAAGAGTGCGTCGGGGGAGGGGGGCGACTGTATTCGCGTATTCGTTAACGTTAACATTATATCGGGACGCAGTTCGTTTGCTGCGATATTATGCGTTTATCGAAAAAAAATCAAATACCGCGCAGCGACGGTTATATTATTACCGGCGGTTTTCGCGGGCGGGCGGTTATCAACAAAAAAAAAAAAATAATAAAACAAAACGGAAAATATCGTTCGCCGAACGAACTAAACACCGCCGCCGCGACTATCGCATAGGTACCTACGATATCGTTACAAACGATATTATTATTATTATTATTATACCGAACATTAATTATTTATTATTCGTGCTTTTGCACGGCGAACGGTGTTCCCGTTCCCCGTGCGAATAGTACGGTACTACGCGTACGGGTATAACAGGTAGGTTCGACTACATTAGTGAACGTACACGGGTACCTACACGCGCCGGGTAATAATAATACATAAAATATATAATACAGCGCTCGCGTATAATAATATACGGATACCCACTGAAATACACAATATTATGTGCACTCGGGCGAACGCGCGCGCGCAAAGTATTATAGTGTATTATAATATTATACACACAGGTAGGTATATAAATATGTATATATATATATACAGGTACTAGGTGGGTTATAATATTATTAATAGGTAAATACATAAACGCGATACGCGAGTAATGTGTGTCATAACAATTTGCGCGGTTCATTGCCGGTTGACCTCTATATCATAATATAGTCTTACCTATAGTGGTTATCTATAATATTATATACATAGATATATATATATATAGCCGGTGTGTTTTGCGGATGGCGGGCCGATAACAAATACGCGTATATTCCGTGCGTTCGCCGCCCGTGTTATTCACCGTCCGAATTTTTCACATTTTATCAATATTGTATCGCAGACGTAATATTATAACGTTGTATTATATCGTTGCTATAATAGCGGTCGACGCGGTCTCGTTGTCCGGAGGGCGGGCGTCCGTCCGCTCCGGGGCTTTCCGTCGGTTGCCGGCGCGGTTTTCCGGAAACCTTATTCGCGGCCTATGGCGGTAATGAACACGGCGCGCGCGACGGTAACGGCAGAGGTAAACGAAACGGAACGTGGCGACTGCGTATACTTTATTACGGCGTCGGGCGCTCACGTCGGCGTCGGCGAAACGATTGCGCGCGATTGGAATCGAACCAGCGCGCGCGAGACGATCGTGGACGCGTTCGCGGCGGAACCGATCAGAATCGCGGGAACGCAGGTATAAACGCCGACGACACGTCGCGCGAGCGACAATCGCGGCCGTTACGCCGCGGTCCGCGTGTATACGGTCGCCCGCAACCGAACCACACCCCCCCCCCACACCCACCCCCGAATCAACCCCGACGGGGCGGCCCCGCACGTGGAAATCGGCATTGGCCCCTTTGTCGTCGGAAAACCCGTATCCGTTTATAGTGGCCGGTCCATAACCGTCGCGCCGTGGTTATTAATATCTACGATTCATAAATACTCGTTGTACGGAATCTCCTTGGAAAACGATACGACGTCTCGATATTATGACATTGTCGGCGCGGGGCCGGAGGGCGGACGCTGTAATAACGGCGTACATCAGTACAACTGTAAAGAGGCTGGGTTACTTTATGGAATGTAAATTATAAAGGCTGAAGGACAAAGACCCCCCCGTCATAACGCTCTAGTAATTACTACACAACGTCCTTCCGCTGTGGGTGAAAACGTTTTTCGTACGAAATGTTTATGCGTGACATCATTGCGACGGTACCGTATACCCGATGTTTTGCGATTGTTAGTTATCCACAGAAAAAAAAAAAAAAGCTGTAGGATACTTAAGAGTTATAATTATTATGTATCTGCCTGTGAAATACGATACTGAGTAAAGTTCGGTAATACACGTTTTGAAATGCTACGTCAACATTTGAACTTGAAACGCTTATTCAAAAAAAAACGCCTAGGCATATTAAGGTAATTAAGCTCAATTATTATTAATTTTTTTTTGTTAACTAGTGCAACTTATAATAAACCTGTAGTTAAATTTTTAATCATTTATCAAGATAAAATTAAAAGTTAAAAATCGAAAATGTAAAATTCTTATAAATAGCTCAAAAATGTTTGGAAAATTGGACCATGTCTAGAGAAAATACTAATATAAGTTTTCTGTAAAAAGGTGACGCCAAACATGCATTTGCTTATCGGTCATTTTTATTACTATTATTGTTAAGACGACCTTACCAAATGATTAATATTATTAAATCTCTCGAATAAAATAAAAACACATACAGAGTTAGAATAACATCAGAAACGAGAATGTATGTTCTTACCCATCACTATTCATAGTTAAACCTTTGACACGGTATTCTATTTAACGCTTGAATACGTATTATGCAATTAACTGAACATTCATTAGAAAAAAAAAAACCTAATACAAATTAAAAACAATTATTATTGAAATAAATGTAGGTAATAATAACACTGACTTCTGTACATAATTATACTGATACAAACAATACATAGGTATTTAGAAGATAATATTCCTCTTTGAAATAGGCAATTTTATTTTTTATAGAATCACAGTTGTAGGTATTAAATAGTAATAAAAATAATATACAAGTAAAATACATTTGTACATCGTACATTATGCAGATGTTCCGGTATTCTGTTGTTGTTTTTTTAAAGAGTGTAAAATAAAGCAGCATGAGATATATTTTAATGTTAAAAGTTTTTGAGCAGAAATTGAGTATATTATAATACACAATATAATAAAATACTTATTATATTATATGAAAAAAAAAATTACAAATGAAATGTATGCACAATATAAAATATAAATAAATTAAAATACTGTCATTATTGTGCATGTTATTTAGCTTTTAATTATGCTAAATAAAGTACTTATATTATGAAATCAATGATACCTACTAAAATGTTAAAAAATCAAGATTATGCCAAAATACTGAAAGTATGATTTATTTAAAACACACCATCAATTATCTGCACAATGAGTATAACAACAAACACAATAATATGAGTTCAATTAATCTAAGAAAAAAATATCTTAAAATTACCGAATATTTAATCTACAAAATTATTGAATATATTTAATTAGTTTATAATATAGTGTTGTTTCATTACTAAGTAATTTTAGTTTTTTTCTAACAATTTAGAATGTAGAAAGTTCGTGTTATTTTTTTTAAAAGATTAAATATTTATTTAAGTTAAATCGTATAGGATTAAAAATGTATTATTTATTGTACCAAGTAAAGAAACTAAAATTTAGAGTAAGATTTTTCCATAAAACTTAATAAAATGTTAAAATACACTATATTGTGCGTTCAATATCAACAATATATAATAAATATAATAAATTTATCAATTGGGATAGCACAAAATGTAGTTAATTTATGACACTACCTATTTAGTATACTAATAAAACTGTTATTATTTTTTTTTTTACTAATAAATATTATTTATTTATTTTTACCTCATAAAATCATTGCAAAAAAAATATTCATGATCTTTACATAATGAATTGCTTAGGTATTGGTAATAATTCTGTAAATTTGAACATGTATTTTATATGCACAGATTAATGTAATTTGAAATATTAGTCTTTGGTAATGTAAAAATGAAAACAAATATTGATTAAAATATATTCAAATATCACAGTTGATAACTAAATGAGATTTTTCTATAATTAGGTATATTATAATATTTATAAATTACTTTTCAATTAAATAATTTGTGGAGACAATATAATAGTGTTTTAAAATAAACATAAACACCAGATAAAAACTATTTTTCGCCAAAGTTTCAATTATATGATGGGTCCAGTTTTTCGAATCTATAGTTCTATACAATGTCAAGTATATGTATATAGATTTTTAAAAATGGACCGAGGACACAGTTACAAAATGTTGGCAAAGTTTAATATAAATAAATATATAAAGTAATATGAAATTTGTTCAATACATTTTTGTATTAACATAGGAAACATATTTAATATTTATATCTATTTAATGGTAAAATAAGACTACTGAGATATAAATTTTTAAAAAGCAGATATTTTCTCTAAAAAATCACGCATTATTTATTTATAATAATGTAATGTATAATAGAGCCCTAGGTCCATAATTTTTTTACTGTTTGTCAAATAAAAATAATTTAAAAATAATTAATAATTTACTTAGTCTAAATAAAGATTTCATTAAACAATAATATGGAAAAATATAAAATGGTATAACTAAAAAAATGGTTGAGTAATGAGTAAATTAGCTGGTTTTAGTTAAATGTCTTGGACGACAGGTGTGTTTTTCTCGTCTTCTAAATCTTGAGTTGTAGTCAAATTACTCCACCAATTTGTGACTGCGCCTCTAGCTTGAGAAATAGCACCTCCTATTAAAAATGATTGTTCTATAATAATATAATATAGTAGTAAAAAGATAAATATTATTTTTGAACATACCAACAACTTTACCCGTTGATGCAACCGCCCTACTTGTGTTTTGTACAGCTTGATTTAATTTTCGACCACTTCTACTGCTCTGCATGGTGCTGTTATAAATTATAAAAATAAGCTTTTCTAGAATGAAGTGTTTTCCTCATTTTTATTTGTCCATACATCAAAACAAAATTTAATTGAAAACAAATAGTTATGTATTGAAATAAAGTTTTTAAAATAATTATCTATTGATCATTCACTAAATTAATTAATAAAAACAAAACAAATACAAATTATTAAATCAAATATTGCAAATAGTTTTTAGTTATAACTTCTCTATAAAGTCTCCAACTGAAACCGGTGGCATTTTAGCATGTTAATATTGTAAGAGGTTAGGTTATGCACACTATTATTGATATTATAGTTGTCCATCAATCTAGGAAAAAACATCTACTAAATTGACTTTTCTAAATTCTAGAATGCTAGGACTTGCGGAACGGTGTGAGAGAATGTTGAATTAAGAAACCCCACACATTTGATGAAATTTATCAAGAAATTTATTACTGTGTGCTCCGCTGGGATTTATATTTAACTTTATACAGGACCATAGTATCTACAATTGTGGTTATGTTTACCAATATTCTGTGTATACCTTAATGTTAAACAAAAATTACCATGGACATTTTAAAGGTTTCTCTACAAATTTGATGTTTATTGTACAAAATATAAAATTTATGTACACGAATATTTTATTTATGATTAACCATGAAGAAAGATTATTTGGAATCATTTATATTCTTATGTATGAAACTAGAACAAACTACAATTACTAATAACAATATTTTCTCAAATTATTGAAGAATTTATTAATAATGCGTTATTTCAAAGTTGTTTTTACTAAATTTAAATAAGATTTGAATTATGTTTACCCTTTTACAAATAAAAAAAAAACAGAATCATTTTAAATTCACTCATAATTGACACGTATGGATACGCTCTAATATTGAACTCTGAGATCCTTATTTATTTTAATTAATCAGTAATCATATAAACTACACACACAGTTAATTATAATTTTCATAAAATATATATTATCTGTATAAAATAATGTACATACTGTGATATCCTAAGTTTCATATCAGCTACAGATAATTGCCCGGCAAATGGATGACATGGTTCTAGTGCCATAATTGCTTGGTGCTCTCGGTTTAACCAAATTTGATAATTTTTTGTTTGTTGCCAAGCAGTTATGAAAGCTGGATTGAAGTGATTCAATTCAGGATCTCCATCTATTATAGTCAATAAATATATTTAAAATCATTAATGATAAATTAATTATAAAGAAATTTGTATAATATGCATATTTGAATAAAAATAACAAATAATAATAACGGACCATTCAACAATGATGTTCTTAATAATGACAGTAAATATGCTTTAAATTGAGCCCTAATCCATTCATCTCCGCCTTCCCATCCAACTCCATCCAGAAATACATCTTCTTTATCAGGTTGTACAACATGTCTAACTAAATAATCGGCAAAACGAAGATCTTCTGTAGTTAAATGTAAATGCCGTCTAAGTTCCATATTTTCTATTTCTACTTTGCCTTCATCAATCTAAAATAAAGTTGTGTTATTTCTGAATTACTAATTTTTACATTGTACTTACATATATATATTACATGTTTGTATAAAACTATAATCTATAAAAACTATAATAGCAACACTACCTCTACAATCACATCAGCTAAATTCTTCTTTTGTTTGAATAATATATTTGAAGCACCAATTACATATCCACGGACATTAGGATTGGTTAAAATGTCCATGTAGGACAAGCAAGAATATGGCTGACACAAATTTCCCTATATTAAATTCATTATTTCAGTAAACATGTATTCAAAACAATATGTAATATACAAATTTTTTATGCACACATTATCAAAAATAGACATTGGAACTCCACAATCTTCAGAATTGATTTGAGCAATACTAATCATATTATATTGCATAGCAGCTTCATTTAATGAATCCATACTAGGATCTCTCGGAATGTTTGAAACAAAACTATTGTTTTGAATTGTGTCGTCATCAATAATTTCATTAAATTTTTCACAAACAGAATTTTCAACATTATTTTCTGGAATAGGTTTTTCGTCTGAGGCAATTACTTTATCTTCAGCTTCAATGGAAACTTGTGTTGGGCTAAAAAAAATAATTCACGTAAAAGACAATTTTATTAACAATTTAATAGTTATAAATAAATAATTGGTTACTTAATGTTAACAGATTTATTAAGTCCATTTTCAATGAGTCCTGGGTGAAGAGATAATAAGGTCAATATTGTAGAGCATAGTGGACGGACAGGAGAATAAAAAAATAATACTTTGCTTTCTAATAGCATCAATTTAAATAATAACAACACTTTATGTCGAAATCTTGTTACAAGCTCAACAGCTGATAGGCCTATAAAATATTATTATTATTAAATAAATATTATGAATATTTATTAAAACATAAAACCTATACAAACCAACAAAGAGATGAGGACTGGTACTAATATTATCTATACTAGACAAACAGGAATTGAGATGGTGGTAAGTGTCATGTAAAAGTGATATTTTACTAAAATCACCCTCTTCAAAATAAGCATGGGTAATTAAAGACATTTTAACTTGAATATGTCCATACAATGGCAATGTACTTAATACACATACTGATTTTTGGATTGTACTTCTTGTCATATCAGGAGTTCGGTTGATAATTTTCTTAAAAATAAAAATAAAATATAAGTTAAGTAGTTCAATAATAAGAATATTTTAATTATTTACTTCTAATGGTATCTGCCTGTAACATGAAATTCCATAGATTGTTTCACTTGAATCTTGTAAACTAGGCAAATGGAAGTATGCGGTATCTTCGTCAAAGTTGTGCGACCCATCAGGTAATGCTAAATATGGCAAATGTTTCCATGCTGATGGACATTCGGTAGAATCACCTGGAGTCTCTTCGGTAAATGGAGGATATGCATATTCAACCTGAAAATAAAAACTATATAGTTTACAATAATACAAATAAAAAAAGCAGTCTGTGTTTAGATTTTCACAAAATAATTGATCAGTCATTTGTTTGAGATAAAATTTGAACAATTCAATAAATAGTTTGTTTTTGTATTTGCTTAACCTAGATAATACCTAATATGTATTTGTATTAAGGTGTTCACATTTTAACAAATATTTTTTTTAGGAATTATTAATCTAAATTTACTGAATATTATGGTGTAATGCTTATAAAAATAGTCTCTAATGTTTTATATCTAAAAAATATTAAGTAGGTACTCTTGTATCTATATTTAATGATTTCTATAAATTTATTTAAATTAAATTATATAAATATCTAGATATGATTTCTTCAGGGGATACTATGAGAGGGTTGATTGTATAGGTACATATTGATATTATTATTATGACTTATTTATTATTTGCCATCTTTGCATAATGAGGTTAAACCAATTTAATAATGATGGATAATCATTTATTTCACAATGTACCAGCTGTACATATTGATTTGTACTGTTTCACTGGCATGCATTTAAATATCATATTACCATTATTATAATGGAACCGTAATATGCAATTACCAACAGGTATATTGTTAAAAAAGCGTACCTGACATCCTTTTTTATGATGGAACCCAACAACCAGGACGTGTAAAATTGGACTTTTGGTCATGACAACAAATGAGTACAATACTTTACTTTAATAGTTGGAAATTTTAAAATATAAACATATTTTTGATTGTGTATTGATATACTTAATAGTGTAAATGATTTAAATCAGTTAATTGAATTTATAACACATCAGATGGGTACATTTTTTCGTAGTTGAGCCGATTTTTGCAGGATTATAAAAAAACGAAACTTATTCGACACGAACCGAACGCCGTCGAATGAAATACACAACGTATAGAGATTTTAATTTCATAACACTGCGAATAAAACATTGATAATTGCCAGTCGTCGAAAGAGCCAAATGTTATTATCGATTTGATAAGCCCGGCGAACGCGTATTATTGATAACACAAAAAAAACATATATAAATAATACTTGATTATTGTTTTTTGTTTAATATGACGAATATGGAATGACAATAAACGGTGTCATTGTTTTTATTCAGTACACTATATTTTATATTATTTTTATTGACACAATACGGTATTCCAAACAGATTTGTTGAGATATTAAGTCTTTATAAACTGTTCCTGAAAAATAACATTAAATGAGAACAACTATTGGTACCTACCTACAATATTATTGATAGATATATAGGTTTTCGCGCACGCGCGTTTACCGCAGTTACCAGTGGGGGCCAAACGATAAACGATAAGGTATGCGCAATGAAAAATGTTCAAACCGGTAATAATTTTATAATTTACTTCAATTACTTGTAATTTTTGATTGTCGTATTTTCAAAAATCACTCTGAAATTGATTCTAAAAATATATTCAGTGACCTCTTTTTCGCGGAATCCCTGATACCCTTATTTAAACTACTTTTTTTAAGTACTTGCTTATTAATTGGAAGTTGAGCCTCTCAGACCCTATGAGAGGGAGAGGAAGTCGAGGCTGTAGCCTTAGGGCCCAACAAAGTCTAATATTTTACCCTAATTTTAAAAATTATAAAAATAAAAATAATTTGTCGTTTTATTTCACAATACTTTAAGAAATCAATACATATTAGTTATATTAAAAAAATAACAATATAGTAATTACTTTGTAATATATTATTTGTGTTAGTAATAATATGATTTTTCCTTATAAACACCTTATTATAACTCAACCATATTTTGTTATACTTACACATTTTAAAGGATGACGCTTGGTGTTAGGGTTAAGTTTAATATTTGACTTTGGGTGGATTTATTTTGTCCTTGAGACCCTTGATTTCTTTCTCTGACCCTGCCTCATCTAGCTATGGTACAGTAAGTTGAAGTTTCCTCATCTTTAATTCACAATGAGATACCAGGTTCAGTGAATATTATTGAATTGAAACATAATAATACCATTAATTCCAATTTAATCAGTTATTTTTGAATACGGTTTGTAAAAATATATTACAGATATTTGTTGAGTTATGAAATAAATGTAAGTGTTTAATAATCATTATTTATTTTTACGAATTTAAATTAGAAAATTCATCTGTATCGACTGAATTGGAAGTCCTATAATTTGTAAGCAGTGAAATGTTTGTTAGCAATTCACAAATGCTTGGTAGTCTATCAGTACAGTATAAACATTTTTGTTACCTTCTCAGGTCTACGCATTAAAAAATATATTTCTATGTAAAATCATACACGATTAAATTACTGAATGTGTATATGTAATCTATGACAGGGACATAGGTAAGGGAGTAATGAGGTTAAACCATCTCTTTTCGAAATAACTACTAGAGTTCAATTTTTTTTTCAACTCGCAATTTAGGTACTCTTATTACAAATAATTTTTCAGAACTTTCCTCTCTAATAAATAATTTATTATTTATAGACGACACTCTCGTATAATATTATAGCCCCATATATTAAATTATAATTTTAAGGCTTAATATAAAGTTTCTTAGGGTATCTAGGTATTTATCTATTATCTTATACATACAATTCTACGATCACAGTGTTTGTTATTGAAGTCCTCCGAAACGGCTTGGCCAATTTTCATGAAATTTGTTGTATATATTTGGTAGGTCGTGAAGTATTTTTCACTCTCCTATCCCATCCACTAATTTTTAATAGCGATTTTAATACTTTCGCTTATATATATATATATACACGAGCAACACCAAATAATTTAGTTTATAATATAATAAATATAATTCTTTTTGTTGATCTTTGACACACCGGTAACAGGGATGAAAAAAATGATGATTAACTATTATTAGAAATTAGTCGGAAACTAATATCATGGGATCATCAAAATTGGTCCAGCTGTTCTTGAATTATAAATGGTGTAACTAACATGGCTTTGTTTTATTTATATAAGATTTTTGTTTACTCAAGGGTTGCTATGGAAAAGAAAACTATTATAATTATTATTACTACTATTATATACACTGTTCAAATTGCATGATAAAACACATTTAGTCTGCCGAAGGTGGACTACCCACTTTTCGCTTATTTATTTTCATTCAACTCAAACACGGCCAAAACCAAAAATGAATATGGGTAAAATAATAATATAAATTGGTACGGGCAACGCTAGGTGCGGGACAGCTAGTATACATATAAAATTATAATATTCATAATTACATGATTTTGGTACCAGCAGCATACTTGTGGTTAATTAGAAAACAATTTTTAATAGCTAAAATAATATTTTTATCATAGAAACTGAAATTTAATTCAGTAAGTATTCAATGTAATATAAAAAGTCTATAGGGACATTTGGGGTGCCAAACGCTACACTATAAATTATAATAATATATATTATGTACGATTATGATGATTTAAACTGATGACTTCGTTATAATATTATAATTTGACATAACATTAATCTATGCATTTTAAATTATGTTATACCTTGTAAGGTATTTCCATATCTTGTACTGCAAAAGTTTATCATGGTGCGTCACGTTAATTTCTGCGGTCATCGTCTCCGACGGTTGTTCGTAATTACATTTGAGTCAAGAAATTAAGTTTAGGAACCATCCATTGACAGCTTAATGGGATCTACTCATACTACCCCTACACAAATAATTTAAAGAGCTGATACATACTGTTGATGAATGCGTCACTGTTATAGGTGGGAAGTTGGAATTGTTAAATACACTCAGAATCTAAAAACATTATTATAATTAAAGGCAAACTTAAATAAGTATACATAATACATACATATGTACATATTTCTGATTATTGATATAACATATTATTAATACAATAAATGGTTGAAGCAAATAAATTTAATATTGGATGGTCACCACCTATTGCCACATTAAATGTATATCTAATATCTGTAAGCAACGACAAACCATTGCTAACGAAAAAATGATTCTGAGTGGGGTTCAGTTGATAGTGATGCTTTGATAGTAATGTTACTATTTGTTCTAAAAATTAAATCTGTAATAAAATGTTTATTTTATAAATAATCAATTTTTTTATTATACACATTTAGTATATTATTATCAAAAATAATAAAATTGCCATGCAAACAAATTATCTATTATTATGAGTAGGTATAATATTATCAGCATTATATTGCGCGTTCACTTAATGATAGTTATTTAATTAGTGCAGTAATTCATAATAATAATATTTTTATAAAGGATCATAAAAAATATTAATAAAATATTACCATATAGAGAATATAATAAAAACTGTAATATATATAATATTATGCAGATAGTGGAAATTTAAAAATTAAAATGGGCTTATATCGTTATTATTGTTCTAGTACTAATTATAATAAGAATAAATAAAACAAAAAACGGACATACTTCGCGTATCTGGTAGGCCACTGTTGTAGGTGAGAAGTTGGGAAGATATAAAGGGGAATTTAGTGTATATCTGTATGAAACGATTAATCATTACTAATGAAAAACGATTCTGAGCGGAATTCGATTATACATATTTTAAAAGGCAGTAATATTTTCGATTTTCGCAAAATTCAATATTAAATTCTTATTAAAATAATTTTACACTATACTAAATTTTTACCGTCGGTTCAAACCTGAAAAGAAAACATCTAATAAAAATTGTTGTAATTGTATTTATACTAATACAGTAGATATCATTTATAATGATACTCGTTGTAGTGACTTATCGGGTGTAATGACCTTAGATTGAAGGCTACTCAAACCTCCCATATTGCGTGATGTACTAATTTGAATCGATTATTATCACGTCTGTATAATGACTAGACGGATGTTATGGTAGTTATTTTTGGTTACATTGGGAAAATCTGTTATCTATAATGACTGTATTAAACTATCGAAGGTAATATTACAACAACCAATAATACTATTAATGTTAATTGTTTCGTAATTGTATCGTAAGCATACTGAACAAATATATTATATATCTATAAGTGGATAAATCCCAATTTTTATTAGGCTTAATTTTGCAAAATGGACCACGTTGTCTGGAGGTTTATAGTTATTAAAATTAAAAATTGAAAAATATAAATTCAAAAAGATAGTACTTCCACAAAGAACATACTAAATAAAAATTACCTATATAACTTCCAAAATTGAAATGTCTATTTATATTACGAAAATGGCTCAAATATTTTAAAAATTTTACCACGTCTAGAAAAAGTAAATATAAGTTTTCTGTCCAAATTACAAGTCTCAAGAACTAGTCTCTTTGTTTTTTTTTATGTAAACACTTTTACTACCAGAAATCTTATTCCGATGTATATAGTATAGACTTTTTTACTGAAATTTAATTTTCTTGGGGTGGTACTTCAAGGGGGTCATTTTTGATTTTCTCAGGAGTTTTCTCATCAAATATGATAAACCGAAAAAAAACTGAGGAAAAACGGAAAACTGTACGAAATATATTAATAAAATATCTCGACCATTTTTTGCCTGTGATCAAATTTTTTACGAGCAATTTTTCTCCGATTTACAATTATAGCACTTTTTCTGAAAGGAAATGAGACTAGAAGGTACTTAAGGGAGGTAAATTTTTCCAAAAGTTTTCCTAAAAAATGTGAAAAACGGGGAAAAACACGGGAAAACCGGGAAAGACGTAGTAAAAAACGGGGTAATCGATAGAATATTAAACAATTATTATTAAGGAAAATATATAATGCCTATTTAATTTTTTTACCATAATATGACATATATAACAATGTATGTCTATTAACTGAATTCCGCTAAGTATCGTTTCTTCGTTAGCAATGGTTTATCATTACTTATATTATATATAATAAATATATACATTAAATTTCCTTCTGTATCCTACTTTCTCAACTTCCCACCTACAACAGTGACTGCACCCGTCTCCATTATCTTAGGATAGCTTTTTTTTTTATATATAAATTAACTTAAAACAATTAAAAATAATAATTAACTAATACAATATACTTATCGTGAATAGAATAAATATTAACTACACATATGACCAATTTTGATATTCTGTGCCTAAGTTCCTTTATTATTTTTTAAATAATATGTAATAACTATTATTTGTCAATGCTTTACGAGTTATGTTGTTATTTAAACATATTAAATATAAAGGTACGTTTTAGCATTTTTTTTCTCCAATAACAATTATTAAAAATGTAAAATTAAAGACGAATACAAATAAATATCATAATATAAGTGCCAAAGTACTTTTAATTCCGTACTGCATACCTTACATTTCGTATTACACAAAGTGTGCAGTCCTGTGTACTATACACAATTTTAGTTCCTGGTCTTAATAACCTGCAGATGCCATACGTGTAAAATAATGTAAACGTATTACTTTTTAAAAATGTTATTAGGTTAAATAGTACGTGAACAATTTCAAAATGTGTAAATAGATATAAAAGGTTAGGAACCATTGGTCTAGATCACTATGAAAAATTAATTATATTTTTTGATTTAATTAAAAATAAATCAATGTTTTCAACGCATGGATAAATGTTAAGGGCAATTAATAAGGAAAATTAAAAAGCTGTTTTAGAATAATGGAGACGGGTGCAGCCACTTTTCCTACGTTTTGTTTTTCAGTTTTTCACATTTAAAAGAAAACTCTTAAGAAAATCGAAAAACGACCATCTTAAAGTACCACCACAAGAAAATTTAATTTTAGAAATAGTGTTTTCATTGTAAATCGGAGCAAAATTGCTGGTAGAAAAGTTATCCACAGAAATAAAATCGTAATATTTTATTAATATATTTTGTATATTTTTCAGTTTTTCCTCCTGTTTATTTTCGGTTTTTCACTGTTATTTTCGTTACCATGTCGTTAATTTTATAGTTGTCATTTTTTTAAAAAAAAAACTAATATACGTGTACATCGATTGCGCAGGATCTTTGAATTTTTCGTACGTTTTTATACACGGGTAAAACTCTGCCCATCTTTGTTAATTGTGGGTGACACACTGACACTATATTATATAGATAGTATACATATATTATACACGAAGGTATATAGAGTAGCAGACGTAGAAGGCGTATAATAAAAAAAAAGAGCGTCGCAGTCTTTCGTCGCTAAGAGACGTTCGAAAATATAAGGGGGCGCGTTTTATGTAGCGTATTATAGGGGCGCCACTGGTGACTTTGCAAATGGGTCGACGTTATACGGCCTATACCTATCCGTATAAAAGATTTACAAAATGTTCTATATCAAGGTATATCTGTGCGGACAAATACCTCCCGAGAGGCGCACAAAATATGATTCGCACTTCGAGCCGTTATATTATAGTTTTTATACGCTAATGCCTGAATATTTTATTTTACATTGCTATCTGGGGCAACGTGATGAGGAAAGAGAGGGCCGAGAGAGAGACCGTAGGGCTTCCCTTCGAATTTAAATCGAGACGTGCTTTTAGCGTGCTTATATATTACGGTATAGGTGTGCGCGTACAAAACTCGACAAGGCATTTTTTTTTAGTGAATACTCACTGTGTGCGCTCACTCCACTTCCCTTAAAAAAGCTTAACTAGCAGGACACCAAACCTTGCGTCAATGGACTTTTTCCTCCCCGCAGTAATAATATTTTCTATATAAAATGAAATAAAATTTTATTAAAAAAATCTGTAATTATTCAATCATTTACCGTTATTTATTTTTTAACAAAATCTTACTCCACCGAGTGCACTCCATTTAACTTTATTACCCTGTAGTCATTTGAACCTAAAAGAAAGAAAATTCAAATACCTTCAGAATGGTCTCTCCAAGGCTCTGTCCTATCAAAAATCTTATTTAATATTTACACAGCTGATATAACAAGGACATCATCAAGGAAATTTATGTATGTGGACGACGTGGATTTAGTAGCCCAAGCGGAAACTTTCGAAGAGATGGAAAAAAGACTGAACGTTGACCTAGCTAAAGCTATACTTTTTTCAAATTCTGGCACCTCACTCTTAACCCGGAAAAGTTAATCTCTATTGAGTTTTACTTAAACAATAGAGAAGCTAGCAGGAAATTAAACTTAGCAGTGGATGGTAATACTATACCGAACGAAAATGCACCGAAGTACCTGGGTATTAAACTTAACAGAACTTTAACTTTTAAACAACATCTAGAAATGGTCAAAGACAAGACGAAAATACGAAAAATTATCACTAGAAAACTAGCCGGAACAAGCTGGGGATGTAGGGCAAACGTCCTTTGAATTTCAGCCTTGGTATTAGTATATAGCGTTGCAGAATACTGTGCCCGAATATAGACAAGAAGTGCTCACACTAAAAATGTTGACGCACAACTGAATCGTACAATGAGAATCATATCAGTATGTGTACAATCAACCAAGCTACAGTGACTACCCGTACTTTCACACATAGTCCCACCAGAAGTTCGCAAATATGTAGCAACGCTTAAACTGATCCAATTTACGACGATTTATATAATGCGCCAAATAAAAGATTGAAATCTAGACATCCTATATGGATGTTAAAAAATAGTACTAACACAATAGAGGATCTGTGGAGAGATGGAA